ATTGGCTGGTGAGGCCGTGGGGCCGATGTTTACCACTGTCGACGGTGGGATGTAGATCATGATTTATTTCTGCTAGTAATGTGCAGTTTTAATTTGCATGAATTTAACATTCACCAGTTGTCAGAATGGGGCTTGAGCTTAGGAATGTGGTTAGGGATGCACACGTCACCCCAGATCAAAGACTGGCTGCTCCGCAGGTGACTGAGAATTCACCGTATTAGAAGCTGTGGTTACTGCACAGTGTGCTTTGTAAAATCTCTAGTTTCTAAAATTGGACTTTAAATCTCTAGTGGCTCTGTGCACGGGTAGGCTGTGGGAGGGCGACGGATGAGACCTGTGGCAGAGTTGAGCCGAAAGGCAGGCCTCTGCAGGAATGTCACTGCCTGGGCCACAGAGCTAGTCTCCCACCCAGCAGCCTCGGCAAAGTCATTGTTAGTTTTAGCTGCGGAATTTCTCTATTTTTAAATGGGTGTGTATTCCCAGGAAACCTGCAGACACTGGTTCTTCTGAAGCTGGACTTTAGTACATGTGTCAGTTCTGGAAAATGGGGGTGAATATTGAGAAACCCAAGAGTTATAGTTTTATTTTAAACTAGAGGCCTGGTGCACAAAATTCATGCACTGAGGGAGGAGGGGTCTCTTAGCCTGCTCTGTGTCCTCTTATAGATATGTCCACCTTGGGGTGTGTCCACCTGCCAGCTTAGGGATCGGGCCTACGCTGGCAGTCAGACATTCCTCTTGGAGTCCAAGGCTCTCAGTCCAGAACCACTCATGCCTCACCGCCTGCCTGAAGCAGACGCAGGAGAGGCTCTGCCACTGCGGCTGTGCTTGCCAGCTGTGAGCCTGGCTTCTGGCTGAGCAGAAATTCCCTGTGGGAGCGCACTGATCAGCAGGGGGGAGTTCCTGCATTGAGTGTCTGCCCCCTGGTGGTCAGTGCACATCATAGCAACTGGTCATACTGCCGATCATTCTGCCATTTGGTCAATTTGCATATTAGGGTTTCATTATATAGGATATCTCAGCCTGTGATTTTTAGTTTTTAATTGACACATAACATTGGGTAAGTTTGAGGCATACGATGTGATGGTTTGATATATTTATATGTTGTGAAATTATTACTACAGTAGAGTTAGCTAATACTTCCAACACCTCCCATAATTTTCTGTGGTGAGAGTACTTAAGATTTACTGTCTTAGCAACTTCCAAGCATATAATACAGCTTTGTTAACAATAGTCGCCATACTTTACATCAGATCTGAGAACTTGTTTATCTTATAATTGGGAGTGTGTATATCTGACCAATATCTCCCATTTCTCTGGTAGCTCCCATTCTACTCTCTGGTTCTGAGTTTGACTGTTTTAGATTTTACATATAAGTGGCACTGTATAATATTTGTCTGATTTACTTCACTTAGCATAATATCCTCAAGGTCCATCGTGTTTTTGCAAATGGTAGGATTTCTCTCTTTCTCATGGCTGAGTAATACTCTATCATCTATCTGTCTGCCTGACTGCCTGCCTGTCTATCTGTCTATCTATCTATCTGTCTGTCTGTCTGTCTGTCTGTCTGTCTGTCTTCCTCATCTTCTTTATCATTAATCTGTGGATGGATCCTTAAGTTGTTTCCATGTTTTAGCTATTGTGAATAATGCTTCAATGAAGGGGTGCAGATATCCCATTGTGGTTTTATATCCTTTGGATAAGTATCCAGAAGTGGGATTGCTGAGTCATATGGTAGTTTTATTTTTAATTTTTAAGGAACATCTATACTGTTTCCATAGAGATTGCACTAATATCATTCCCACCACCAGGTCACCGGGTTCCCTTTTCTCTGTGTCTTTGCCAGCACTTGTTATCTCTTGTCTTTTGATGACAGCCATCCTAACGGGTGGGAGGTGGTTTCTCACTGTGGTTTTGGTTTGCGTTTCCCTGATGACTAGTGATGTTGAGCACCTTTTCATATACTTGTTGGCCATCTGGATGTCCTCTTTGGAAAAATGTCTGTTCAGATCCTCTGCTCATTTTTTTTTTTTTTACCAGTAATCAGATGTGGATTTTTAAAAATTATTAAGTTATATGAGTTACTTATGCATTTTAGATATTAATCTCTTATCAGATACATGATTTGCAAATATTTTATCCCCTTCTGTAGGTTGCCTTTTCATCTTGGTTGTTTCCTTGAGGTGCAGAAGGTTTTTAATTTGATGTAGTCCCATTTATTTATTTTTGCTTTTGCTTTTCATGTCACATCCAAAAAATTGTTGCCAAGACCAATGTCAAGGAGACTTTTCTCAATATTTTCTTCTAAGAACTTTATGGATTCAGATCTTAAGTCTTTAATCCATTTTGAGTTAATTTTTGCTATAATCTACTTGATGAATTAACCTATTTATCATATAATGATCTTTGTCTCTTGTTACAGCTTTTGAGTTAAAATCTATTTTGTCTGCTAGAATATGCAAGACCGCTGTCATTTATAAGGAATACTTTTTCCTCCATTTCACTTTGATCCTATGTGTCCTTGAAGCTGAAGTGAGCCTCTGGTTGGACCCTATATTTTTACTCTTTGATTGGAGAAATTAACCCGTTTACATTGAGAGTAACCATTCATAGGCAAGGACTTAATAATGCCATCTTATTGTTTTATAACTGTTTTGTAGTTCCAGGCAATTTATTCTAGAATATTCCACAGAATACTCTCATTCTATTTGTAAATATAAGTGATCTGTGGTTGGTACTTTTGAGACTATGGAAGTCCATATTTCTCAACAGTCATTCACCCTGTAATTTACAGTAATTTAATTTATTGACATAAGTTCTCAAACTATTATTTGTGTAATAATCAGATAGTTTGGATGCATCTTTAGCATCCTGGGTAATGTGACATTGACTAGCATAGATCAATAATCTTTGAGATTCCATTAAAAGATACTGGCATTTTAAAATTGTAAGTTAAGATTATAGATTTTTTTATTTCCTAGTCCATGCCTATAGCTCACAAAGTGAATTCCATCAAGTTGGAAAACGTAGGAACAATCATGAAATGTAAGTCACTGAGAGGCACAGCTCTGGGTGTGCTGGCGCAGGTGTTTAAGTGAGCGAGGCAGCGAGGAGGGAGGCAGAAGTGCACACCTGCTGCTAACACGGGTCTGGCATTTGATCACTTCAGCCATTTAAGATGGGGTTTGGGTCACAGGTTCACACGTCAAAGGCCACAGGGGATGAGGGAGCTGGGGGAGGTGTGAAGAGATTGCAGGGAAGACAGGAAACGAGTAGAGGTGGCAGGGATTCTCCAACTCATTAAACATAGGGAACACAAAATAGACAGAATGCAGAGGCAGCCACGAAATGCTCTGTGTGCAACAAACTGACCTCGCTAAATACTACTTTTGGGGAAGTTGTATGTATATGTGTGTGGGCGCAGATGTACAATCAGTTGAGTCTCATGACGCTGCTTTATGTGAAAGCAAAGCGTAGCCTATATTTTTAAAAGTTTCAGTGTGTGTAAATGAAACAGTATTTATACTCATAAGGTAAAATGACTATCAAATTTGTAAAATTCTGTAACAGAAAATGAGTAATTTCTGATTGGAGAGCCAACACTATCATACTCTGGAATTACAAAGTAACTCAGAGAAAACGGAACGGAGCAAAGCCTGGACGGGGTTGGGAGGATGGAAACAGGTGTGACCTGAGAATGAACGACAACATGAGATGGCCAGTCCCTGTGAAGGAGGAAAGACATGGCTGAGAAGATGATAACTGGCCAGAAACCAGGTTTCCCGCAGGAAGTGAGCATGAAGACTGTAGGTTGGGTTGAAACATCGTTGTGGTTGAGGACAGGACTTTTTAAAAGTAAATAAACTCTAAGGATCTGCGATCCAGAGAGGAAGTGGCACACTGTTTATCAGAGGCCCACCAGGAACGCCTGGCTGCGCCCTCCTGCCTAGCAGGGAAGCCTGAGGGAGCAAGATGGCCTGTCCCTGGACCTTGCCCCCTTTCCCTGAATAAGGGGTGTGGCTGACTTGGGCATATAGCTTCCTCACAGACATATCGAAAACGTGTGCCAGCAACTCTTGTGTCCACGGCCTCTGGTTCCCTCTGCGGCTCCTCTCACAGGGCCAGCCCCACTCGTGGACTGATGCCTGTGCCAGGAAATTCCTCTCTCATTAAAATAAGCAGTATTTTATGTCATTTGCTCACATAGTGCATTTTGTGTTGTCCTGCTGCTGAGGGCAAATCAAGTATATTCTTGATTAAATATGAGGCATAATGATGTCACAGCAAGCTAAGAGTCTGACTTTCTTGTGCATATTCTGGTACCTCATTGTTGGGACAGCCACCTGAGTGTCAGGAAGGGCACTGAGAGGAAGGACCCTGTTGTCCACTGCGATAGAGTGAAGGCCACGGCCACTGCCTGCAGGATGCCTGCATGGCCCTGGGACTAGGTAAAAGGACGGCATGAGCCGGGGACCAGCTCCTCGGGCTGACCGCACATCTGAGGAACCAGGGCCGAGTGTGAACATCACCTTTCTCCCCAAGCTCAGGACAGGACCACTTAGGTTCCATACTCAGGGCAGGACAGAGGGACAGAGGCTCCCTCTACAGGAAGGAGCAATTACTGTCATTCATTACTCCACATGGAGGGCAGGGAGGTGTGAACGGATCTAAACCCCATACACAGTGATCCTGGACGTGACCGTGAGGTTCTGGCTCCGCCTGAGGGTCTGGGCCAGTGTGCTGTCCGAATGGCTACCTCCCCTGAAGTGCTATGATAGAGAGGTGTCTAAGCACATAGGAACATACAGTAAATACACACTTCTGAGCGCCTACTGTGTGCTAGGCCTTTGTAAACACGATAGAATAGCTCTACAAGGTACAAGTCGCTCCTTCATGTGACAGATGAGGAAACTGAAGCCACAAAGCTGGTGGAACACCATTAAATGGTTTAAAAGAAAAGGTAGAAGAAAAGTTTCTGGAGAATTAAGGGTATGTACCTACCTTTTCCTCAAAGAATTTTCTCCTCAACTTGGCATCTGTGGGTGGCAGCGTCCTCCTCAGATCCCAGTACCACTTCCTAACCACGTGTCCCCTCCAGCAAGCTTGGATCCTAGGGCACGGGTTGGAGAGGGGTGGTCAGGTGGCTGTCCTGTGCGGGCTGGGTGGAAGTGCCCCCCCTGTGACACCAGCCGTCGGCGTGACCTCTGAGCCCTCCTACCACTGCGGGTGCCCTGGGCCTTCTCACCGGGTCGCACACTGGGCTCTGAAGAGCCGGGCCGCGTCGTGGATCACGCGGGTTTGGTACTGGCTTCTCCTGCAGAGCGGACAGGCCTTCTTGCTTGTGAACTTCTCGAAGGCCTGAAGGCACGCCTGTGAGGAAACATTTCCCTTAAACAAGTGATGACTCAGGCACCACGTTTTCACTCCCATGTAATTACAGTGTTCTGTCCTCGTAATTATGAGACTCGGTCCAATTTAGATCCTGAAGAAGTTTCAACAGCTGTGAACACTTTCCTCACATAGCTTGTTCCAAATGATCTCTTACAAGAATACACATGCACATACATCAAAACCTCTGGAAACAAGTCCCACGCAGGAGAGGCGACCGTGGGGGGTGACCGCAGTAAGCCCAGGACCCGCTGCCCACGCTCGGACTGCCATGCAGACGTCTGGCTGGGGTTCTGTCCCATAAAATCCAGCACTCTCTAAGCAGGATGAACTGCACTGTGGCCCAAAGTCACATTGCGAGTTGTGAAAGGTGATTGCGGATAAAACCAGTGGGCCTGTGAGGGGACTCAGTGAGCAGGATGGCCCCGTCTCCCGAAGCCACAGGCAACGCGTCGCACACGTGAGCACAAGCGCCACTACTCACCCTGTGAAACACGTGGGAACATGAAAGCAGCACCTGCCACGGGAGAAAAAAAGTGTTTGAAGTTTCAATTAGTGTAACAGAGAAGCAGCATAAATGCATTAATTAAAAATTCTGAGTGCTCGAAAGGTAAGCTTGTTCTTTCTTTGAAAAATTAAAAAAGCAAATTAATAACCTCCATATGCATAATATTTAGTGTTTTTAGTATGGCCCAGGCATATAATCTCAACAAGAAAAGCTAAGTTAAACATCAAACACACATGAAGTTTGCTATAAAAAGAGTGTATACTTAAAAACGAAACAATTATGAAGTGGATGCATTTCCTGGGCAGATCCTTGGGGGTGGGGGTGGGGGCAGCAGAGAAAGGTAAGAAAACGCCTTTTCCGGGCTTTGTACAACTACATTGCACTCTTTAATTTTAAAAGCACAGCTTTATTGAGATATAATTCTGACACTCTAAATAGTAATAAGTGCTGGTTACATAGGAATCACTTTTTGTTTTTAAATGTAGAGAGAGTGTGGGCAGGAGAAAATGTTCTCTTTCTGTGACCCAAATTCCCACAAATGGTGACATTCTGGGTTATGACAAAAGCCAGAAGCTTAGACCCAATCAAGAAAAAGGCAGCTGGTCCTCCGGAAGGGAGAGCTGGGCGGGCCGGGCGTGGCGGGGAGAGGAAGGAGGGATGGGGCAGTGCAGGCTGGTGGGCAGAACAGTCCCGGGTGGAAGGTGCAGCAGGGAGTGCCATCAGTGGTATGCTGATAACAGGTCTGTGTCGGGTGGTGTGAGATTTACCAAGGTGACCACTTAGTGAGTTATGTGATGTACACCTGGGGTGTACACCTGAAACTAACATAATACTGTGTGTCAACTGTAATTAAAAGTAAAAAATGATTTAAAAAGAAAATTAAAGGAAGAGGTTCTAGGCAGCAAGAACCTCTCTTTCACACTAAAATGCTGAACTATCCCAGATGGTAATCTTGTAGCTTAAGGGCTAAAGTCTTTTGAAACGCCTGAGTTTCACAGACGTAAGGTTAGGTCCTGATGGAGAACTGGAATATATCCAGTGGTGAATTCAAATTAGTGAAGACCGAAAATTTTATTGTGAACTAACTCATTTACAGTAAGCCTATGAAAACAAATGAAGTTTGAGATGTTATATGCCAGGGAGCCAGCGAAATGGGCTCTTGATTCTGCTGCGTTTCCCAGCAAACGCCGAGGGCCTGCCCGGGGAGGCAGGGCCCTGCATGGAGGTCACTGGGATGGAGACTAGGGCAGGCGCGTCCCTGACGCGCAGGTTCAGGTAACCATGCACCCGGAATCGGCGTACAGAAACCCTGTGACAGAGGTTGATTACATATACTCTCTAGTGTGACAAAGCCTCATGAATAAAGATAGATTTTACTTAGAGCATCTTCCACAAATTATCTCAAAACACTCAAGCCTAGTTTTTCTTTTATATTTCAACTAGAGGCCCGGTGCATGAAATCGTGCACTGGGAGGGGGTTGTCCTTCAGCCTGGCCTCGCCCTCTTGCGGTGCAGGAGCCCTGGGGGGATTTCCTATGATGGCTTAGGTGAGGGGAGCGGGCCTAAGCCAGCAGTTGGACATCCTTAGTGCTGCCATGGACGTGGGAGAGGATCCTGCTGCCGCTGCGCTCACCGGCCTTGAGCCCAGCTCAGGGCTCTGGCTGAGCGGCACTTCTCCTGTGGGAGCGCACTGACCACGAGGAACAGCTCCTGCATTGAGCGTCTGCCCCTGGTGGTCAGTGCACATCATAGCAACCAGTCATTCTGCTGTTTGGTTGATTTGCATGCTAGCCTTTTATTATATAGGATTCATAAAACAGCTTAAAAATGTCTTCTAGCTTTCATGCTTTCCACTTGGGGACAGATGCTCCTGTCAGTGTCACAACTGCTCAGCTCTTGCGCTGGAGGCACGAGGCTCTCTGTCCACAGTCTTTGTGCTTGAGAATACTGTCCAGTCAGTGAACAGCACTGCTAGCTACAGTGTTAGCTCTTCCTCACACATGGAAATGGACAAGAAACTGTGAGTATCTGAGTGTCACAGGAAGAAAGGACCTCGGTTTGTGTGTGTGTTCTTGTACCTAATGCCTTCTATTAAAGTGCACGGGGCATATAATCTCAGCACCTCCCAGCGAGGGGCCCAGGCTGCTCACCGGGCCCTCCTGCTACCCACCTGGGGCCGGAGCTGGAACTCCTCCCTGCAGATCGGGCAGGGCTGCGAGGAGTCCCCCTGCGAGACGGACCTCTGCTTCACCTGCTCCCACTCATCTGAGGAGAGTGGCAATGGGGGAGGCTCACACAGGCCCAGCTTCTGCGCTGAAGTGAAAGCAATGCGGGGTGAGTTAACAGTTTACGACGTGGGGCTCCCTCACACCTCAGTGCACTAGCACACAGCAGCTGTTGGCAGGCTAGAGCGAAATAGGAAGGTGCTCGGGGTATCGCTATGGCAGTGGGTCCCCTCCACGTGGTGTCGTCACGTATGCGTGGGGACACTGTCCCAGACCCACCTATCTTCTACTCCCAGCATCATTTTTAAATGTTTTCTATGTCTTACTTTCAGTTTAAAATGTCAGACTTGCAAAAGGTAAAACAGAGTCCTCCTGTGTCTTTCAGCAGCTCCCCATAGTTACTGCTCCACAGTCCGCAGGCAGAGTCAGACCAGGAGAGAGTGTTGGCCCAACTGCCCGTCTGCTCCTGCCCACTCGGCCTCTTCTGCCCGCTCCCCCAGCGGCGTGTCTCCTCTGCACCAGCAGTGATACTCACACGGGTCTCCGCCGCCTGGCAGGCCTGTCGTCAGCTGCTCTCCTCCCCCCGGGAGAGTGCGGCCAGGGCCGTGTCATGCCCTTTCTCTGGGTTTGTCTGCTGTCTCCTCAGGTTGAACTCGCGTGTGTGTGTGTGTGTGTGTGTGTGTGTGTGTTGGGAGACCACCACAGCAGGGAGGCTGCACCCTCCCAGCGCCCCCGAGGCACCAGTGGGGTGTCTGTCGGGGTCAAGTGCAGTTTGGCCCATGTTACCATGTAAAGCTATGGCTGTGCCCTTGCAGTGAACGTGTGCATGTGGGACTGTGTGTGGCAGCATGTTTTTCCCCACCGATGGTGTCATCACTGTGCTGCTTGCCAAATGGTGCCGTGCCAGTTCTAGCCCGCTCCTGGGCTTCTGGGTGTCCCTCTGCGGCAGAGAGTGTTGGCTTCCCATTGGCCACACCATTCCTTATTGCCGTCGGCATGGGTGAGCGATGTGTCATTTCACCATTTTGCTTATGCTACTGTCATTACCAACGCTATTTACTTTATTTAGTTGTCCCCATCATTGCTTCCAAACTTTAGCACACACACATCTTTCTATAAGGTCACACATTCTGTACCAGAGAACAGTTTACTATTAACCTCAGCCAAATTCCTTAGCTTGCATACGCCAAACATGAATGATGAGGTCAGCTTACCTAACGTTAATGGAGGCGGCTTTGGATCAAGAACATACTCTCTTTCTGGGTCTTCCTCTTTGGGGCCTGGTGCAGTCTTTGTGACAGCTTTTGTGTTTCTTTTCAGAGACTTTGATGTGTTCTCTCTCTTCGGTGCCTTTGTCTTGGAATGATCAGCCACCGAAAGATCCCGCAGTTGAAGATCATGTAAAATGTGGTCTTGTAGTGCAACTGCAGCGACGGCTAAGTTCTCTCGTTTAGATGAATGACCCTGAAAAGGAGGAACAAGGCCATATGGACAGGACATTATGTGACATCGTTTAGAAGAAAACCGAGGCTTTCATACTCCACCTGCAAAGCCTCCTAGCCTGAGTGACCCAGGAAAGGGTGCCTGACCCCTTGTCAGCTGGATGGGAGCAGAGCCGTCTCCTCATTATGGCAATGACGTAGTAATAGCTGCTCATTTAGTCTCTACGGTGAATTACAATACAGATAAATTCATTATGGCCCATAAAGCAGCAGTCACCAACCGGTGGCCGCAGACCACTGGTGGTCTGCGAGGTCCCGAAAGGTTGGTGACCGCTGCTGTACAGGCTGTGTGCGCCTAAACACCTTCTGTTTCGCTCTAAGTCAGGCTGCAGGCCAATCTTGCTGTGTTACACCAGAGCATCTTGCAATTAGTAGATGCTTTTTGGTGAAAACTCACACGGAGTAAAATGGCCATGAGGCTAGGAGGTCCTCAGTGAAGGGAACTTGCCAGCTGTCTTCACGCTCTCACATAACTGAAGTAAAACATATCCATGACTACAACCAGTGTATGTTTCAGAAAAGAATTGTGTACCTTATTTTTTAACATGCTAAATCAGGAAGCTTTGCGGCTTGCTTGGCTCTATCAAATTCTGTCATCATGGTATTGCATTCCTTTCATTCTTCTACTTAGAAACAGTCCACAGCAAGTCAGGGTGAGACAGCACAGGAGAGCGAGACAACAGTGGTTACACATGAGCGCACAGACCTCAGGCCGAAGTCCTCCAGAGAGCACTCACTGCGATCTGGAGGACAAGGGGAGCGGGCGTGCTGCACCATGTACCCAAAGGGAGTCACCAGGGGCTCAGCACATGCTTCTCGCCCGGGGAGGAAGGAGACCCTGGATTCAGGGGCAGAGAGGAACCTGGCTCGCTTCGGTGTGGCCACCACACACACACACACACACACACACACACACTCACACCGATATGATAGAGACACATTCACACTCCCCCACACTCACACACACACACACACACACACATGTGATATCAAATGCTGATATGATAGACACACATTCACACTCCTCCCCCCTCCACACTCACACATACACACACACTCACACACACACACTCACACACACACTCACAATCACACACACTCACACAGACACACACACACACACACACACACTCACACACACACTCACACACACACCGATATGATAGACACACATTCACACTCCCCCACACTCACACACACACACACACACACTCACACATACATGTGATATCAAATGCCGATATGATAGAGACACATTCACACTCTCCCCCCCCACACACACTCACACATACACACACACTCACACACGCACACACACTCACACACACTCACAATCACACACACACTCACAATCACACACACTCACACTCACACACACACAGGGGCTCCACCTGTTTGCTTGGCAGTTTACTTTGCAGATGAGTCAGCTTCCTCACCTTACAAGGTGTAATAACACACACACACCTGGCAGGGTTAGAGCTGTAGCACAGGAGGCAGTTTTTGTAAAGTGTCTTCCGTGGGCCTTTCACACTGAAGGTACTCTGTAAATGGTCATTGTTAGCCCACGTCCCTTCAGGCTGCTGTGAGACTTCAGGCTTGGCTTTTAGAAATGTAACCCTTGCCCCATATTAAGAGCTGAAATTAATAGGAATATTCATTCTTCGCAAACTCCAGTATTACTAAGAGGTAGCTTGGTAACGAAAAATACCATTGTGGTGCCAAAGTAATTAGTTACCAATTTGTTTAAGTGACCTTAAGCTAATTAATAAACATGCCAATTAAAAACATGCAGTAAGAGATATACCATTTAAAGTACAATTGTACATACTGTCTTATTTTTTATATCGTGTGAATTCCTTGTTTGCACATTTTTGGTGAGATCACAGCCGGGACGGCCAGAAGCAGACAGACAGATATAAAATTAAATAGTTAAATTCTCTGCAAAAACATGGCCAGGCCTTTGGACTCGGTTCCCTCTTAAGCACCGGGCAGCATTAAGTTTCAGAAGTCACTCGTTGCAGACTGTTGATGTTTTTAGGCCCCACCAAGGCACATCACCAGGGCTGCCCTGGACTGAGGGGCTTCCTGCCAGGTGGGCGTGTTGGGGGGCGTGGGCGTGGCCCAGGCGTCAGCCCCCCGCCGCCTCACCTGCTGCCTGCTCATCTCTAGCTCTGGGGGGTACCAGCCGTACCCCGTAACCGACCCCAGTCCTCCGCGCCCTCACCACAGCCTGCTTCTCCACCTTTGTGACCGCTCACCGTTGCCTAGCAACTGCCGCCTCCGCAGTCATCCCTTCCTCCCCCAGTGCGCATGCTCAAGGGCCAGTCTCCCCAGTGACAAGTTCTGGACGTGACCTGGGGTTCAGGCGCTCCCCTTCTGCACAGGACTACTCTGCGCATGCTTGCTGGCTCCGAGGCACAGAGCCGCACTGCGCATGCTCCACTGGCCTAAGGTGTGTGGTGGGGCCCTGATAAGGGGTGGGGGAAGTGAAGGTAGGGGGTTGAGAGGTAGGGGGGTGGGGTTGGGGGGTGCTTCTAGGGGCCCTGCCGGTTTTCTCTTGAGCCTTGTGCGGGGAGGTCACTGGCTTTTTGGATCTGCAGTTTTCAGGATATTTGATGAAACTTAAACCATTTATTTTTATTTTTTAAATATGTTTTTACTGACTTTATTTTTTTAAAAATTATTTAAAAAAAACATTTGTTTTATACATTTTTTATAGAGAGGAACAGAGTGATCGTTAGAAAGTATATCAGCTGCCTCTTGCACACCCGGGGATGTGCCCTCAACTAAGGTACATGCCCTTGACTGGATTCGAATCTGGGACCTTTCAGTCTGCAGACCGATGCTCTATCCACTGCCAAACCGGTTTTGGCTAAATATGTTTTTATTGACTTTAGGGAGAGAGAGGGAGAGAGAGAGAACATTGATGAGAGAAACATCAATGGGCTACCTTCTGCACCCCGGTCGAGCCTGCTACCCAGGCATGTGCCATGACCAGAAGTGGAACCGGTGACCTCTTGGTGAGCGGGTGGATGCCCAACTTAGTGAGGGACACAGCCAGGGCAGCCGTTTATCGGCTCCACTACCTCTTCTGCCTCTGCCCCACCCTCTCTGCTCTGGATTCGGCTACGTTTACATCAGGCTTCTCTGCATGGATATGTGCACACGTGGCAACATGATTTTTCAGGTTTCATCTTTGCAGTGAGATTCTCGGTGGTGCTGGCAGTGCCAGTAAGCCGCAGCCCCGGGCCCGGCGCCATGAGGCACACACCTGTACCTACAGGGTCGTGTTAAAATCCATTTTCCACTTACGGCATTTTTAACTTAAAATGGGTTCATTAGGTTGTAACCCCATCATAAGTCAAAGAGCCCTGGGGATTCCGGGATGAAATACATGGCCAGATTAAGAATGGGATCCAAGATGGCTGCTCGGGTAGACATCTAGCCGCGGCAGCACACAACAATTTCAATGGAATACAACTAAAATGTAGAGTGGACATTGCCCAGAGCTACAGGTAGTCGACTGACTGAAATTTCTACAACAAGAAGGAAAGAGAAAACCAGAAAGAAAATCAGAGGAGCTGAAAAAAAGCCTAAGGTACGGAGACATGCTGCGCGCGCGTCCGCCCGCACACACGCTTGGAGAGGTCGCAGCCGGAGAGGAGGAGAGGGCGGGGAGCCGCCTTTCCTTCCCTAGCAGGAAGGAAATAAAACCCCCAGCCTGGGCTGAACCCCTGAACCGGCAGTGCTGAACCCCCCCGAACCCAGCAGCGCTGAGCCCCAGTTATGGGCCAGACCCTGGGGACCCAGGCTCCCGCGGGAGGAGACGGGGCTGTGAGGCGGAAAAACGGCGAAAGGCAGGGCCCCGGGAGTCGCGCGCAATGCGCGCAGAGGACTGAATGTTGACTCTGAGGCTGGGTTACCCTAGCCGGAAGAAACAAGGCCTCCGGCGGCGCTGAGCCTCAGTCCGGACTGCTCCGAACCCCAGTTCTGGGCTAATCCCTGGGGAGCCAGACTCAGGCAGAGGGAGACGGGGCTGTGAGGTGGAGTCTGGGGAGAGCGCGAAAGGCCGGGCTCCCGGGATTCGCGCAAACTGCGCGCAGAGGACAGTCTGTGGGACTCGCGCAAACTGCGCGCGGAGGACAGTCTGTTGACTCTGATGCTGGACTTCCCTAGCGGGAAGGAGAAAAAAAAAAAGCTCTAGGCTGGGGGAACGCGGAGGGGAGCGGAAGCCCCTGCCGGACTCCAGCCAACCGGGCACCAGCAAGGAGGCGGGCCACGGGGCCCCAGGGGGCATGGGTGCCCCTGAGCCTTTGACCACTGAGCTCGGGCAATGGAGCCAAGGCCGGGGGCTGCTTCCTGGGCGGCACCGTCCCGGCAACAGGCTGAAGCAGCGCAGGAGCCCGCGGAGAACAAAGGGGTGCCACAGGCCAACCTGCTGAGCTCCCAGGACAAGGAGGAAGAAACCAAAGAAGTTCTCAATGTGAAGAAATCAAGTGAGAGCAAAAAATAGTAAAATTACTTAAGAAAGAATACAAAGAAGATCTTGAAAAATCAAAGACTAAGTCAGAACTCAACTCACCAGCCAACATTGCAACATAAATGCGTTTTAAAAAGAAAAAAGAAAAAAAAAAGGACAGAATGTTGGATCAGCGGTGGCCAGGCCTAGAGTGGCCAGGCACAAGGCAGTGGCAGCCAGACCCGGAGCAGCAACGGCCAGGCACCAGAACAACAGCAGCCAGAACCAGAGCATCAACAGCCAGCACTGGAGTAGCCAGACCTGGGGCAGTGGCAGCCAGGCATGAGGCGGAGGCGGCCAAGCCCAGGATGGCCAGTCCAGGAACACCCAGACCCGGAGTGGCCGGGCCCGGAGAAGCCGGGCCCAGAGCAGCCGGGGTGGGAGCAGCCAGACCCAAAACAGCAGTAGCCAAGCCCAGAGCATCCAGGTCGGGAGTGGCCAGGCTCGGAGTGGCCGGGCCCGGGGCAGCCGGGCCCAGAGCAGCCGGGTCAGGTGCGGCCAGGCCCGGAGCAGCGGCTGCCAGGCTGGGAGCAGCCAGGCCCGGGGGAGCAGCCGGGTCAGGTGTGGCCAGGCCTGGAGCAGCGGCTGCCAGGCTGGGAGCGGCCAGGCCTGGGGGAGCAGCCGGGTCAGGTGTGGCCAGGCCTGGAGCAGCGGCTGCCAGGCTGGGAGCGGCCAGGCCCGGGGGAGCAGGCGGGGCTGGTGCGGCCAGGCCCGGAGCAGCGGCTGCCAGGCTGGGAGCAGCCAGGCCCGGGGGAGCAGGCGGGGCTGGTGCGGCCAGGCCCGGAGCAGCGGCTGCCAGGCTGGGAGCGGCCAGGCCCGGGGGAGCAGGCGGGTCGGGTGCGGCCAGGCCCGGAGCAGCGGCTGCCAGGCTGGGAGCGGCCAGGCCCGGGGGAGCAGGCGGGTCGGGTGCGGCCAGGCCCGGAGCAGCGGCTGCCAGGCTGGGAGCGGCCAGGCCCGGGGGAGCAGGCGGGTCGGGTGCGGCCAGGCCCGGAGCAGCGGCTGCCAGGCTGGGAGCGGCCAGGCCCGGG